CTCGACCAGGCTTTTAAGCCTAAGAGCTTTTCAGCTCAGAAGTCGCAAGCTCCTCAATCGTGCAACCAGGTGCCTGAGAGCCTCTCAGCTCAGTTTTTCAATCACTGTGGATTTCTTCAACTCCCCAAAGACACAAGCTCCTCAGCTGAGTGACCTCGACTGGGCTTTTCTGTCATGCCCCATCCCGGTCTCCCAGGGATGAGACGCGACTAAATTCTTGATACACTTGTTTACATATATAATCTGGATTAATAAGACACTCCCATAGGTGCAACAACACCGCCTATCACCTTAGCCATTAAGCATGATGGCAATACCTGACTCATAACCTGTACCATATATAACACATGTACCATTTTTTTCCAAACCATATACATATACAAAATTTCACTCCCACATAGCATACATCACAAAGAATGCTTGTTGAGTCTTTTTACAATTATACACTATTAGCTTGCTATAATAATCTCTCACTCAATATAATATACAACCCAGAAAATAATTATATAGACACTCAACCTGTATCACTCAACTTAATAAAACTAAATACATAATTAACAGATATACAACTTGAGTAATATCACACTAATTTCGTTGGACCACTCTGGACTAAACTCAACTCCACGAGACAGTACTCAACCGACTGGATAGTGGACTAATCTGCAACTCCCTTTATAGTACCTAAAAAAAAAGAAACTATAGGGGTGTGAGCTAAATCATGCGCTCAGTGAGCATACATGTTGTATATGAAATGAAAATGATAGTAATACACAGAAGTAGATAGATATTACGTAGATTCATGTATCAAATAATATCAATCCAATTTCACAGAATTTACAAGCAACAACACATCCATACTATCTCTCATCGAATATTCAATCCCACATGGATTTGTGTCTCTCGAACCTCCCGGGAATACCATAGTGCTAGCACACCATTGCATGCCAGTAATCAGACATCGACGCTCCCGTCTCAAACAGTGTGTCACATTCTATAATACACAATACACAGTACAAGACATCATTCAATCACATAAGCACGTAGCGCATAATCCTAGAGAATTGCTATTAAATTTTATCATTTACTATCATCTTATAATAGTATATTCACAACATGTAAAGATATATACCCACCTCAAGTGTACAGATTTGTGGGTTTTCAGATCTACCAGTGGATCCCTTCGGTGTTACCTTATCTGTCTCAACACTGACTGTCCTACATGTTTCATCTAATTCATTTGTAATTACAATATCAATATGTTTATCACATTTAATAGTTAATCATGCACTAATGCATGCAAGATGATTCAACCCAAAGTGCCCCAATAACCCCGATTACCGCACTGTCCACTCATACACTGGCACATTAGATTTAGGGATCACATTTTCTCCCCAAATCTCCAAAATCACTCACATTAATCACAATTAGGATTAAGTAGGTCAAACACATTGACTAGGGGTCCATTTTCACACATGTCAAAATTCACACATGTGATAATAAAGTTTGTAAATCAGGGTTTCGACATTATTGGCACCAATTTTCAACCTTTATCACATTTTTTTTTAAAACAGTCACACTTAAACTCATACACACATTTGGTCATGCAGAACAACCCCTTAATTGAACCCTTAAACCCACTCATTTCACTCCCACAAATCTCGGTTTCAACCTAGCCCACAAAAAGCATCCCGAGCATCTTAAATGTTCGTTTTTCACACTTTTCTCACACCCGGTTGAATACCCACTTGAAACCCTTTCTTAATAGCCCTTTAATTATGTTTAACACACTTAATTAGACTCAAACAAAACAGCCCACACACACACATGCTTAAAATTAAACACACACACACACATACTAAAATGAACACACACACACACCCTTATGCCTTTCTCTTGCTTTCTTCTTCTTTCCCTCACCTTCTTCTTGCCCTCTCTCACTCTCGATTTGGCATGGAGGTTTCCCCCAAGTTCCTCCCTTTTTCTTCTTTCTTCTCCCTCTCGGCTTGAACTATAAGCACCACCAAAAGCTTGGTTTCTCTCTCCTTCCTTGCTCACGGCTCATGACAAACACACGTTTTCTTCTCTCTCTCTTGCTCTCCCTCACTCACAATTTTAGGGGAGAAAGAACACACACACACATACTAAATCATGTTTTAAACATACACACACACTCCACACCTTAGAAAACACACAAACACACATGGCACACACACACACATATCCACCTAGCATTCTAATTGAGTCACCCACTTCATATTTCGACACGTATAAGGATGATTCATTCCAATTTGATAATTATCTTGTCTCCCCCTAAGTTCTTAAGTGATTTTAAAATTGACCCACTACTATTTTCACACATGCTATTTCTATAAATGAGTCTCACGAATACATCACTAACGGGTTCCACATACCCGATGTATGCTTACTCACATCATGATTATGAAGTGTTTACTTTAATTAACCCTTTAATAGTTTCACATAATTATAATTTAACCCACATAATTATGCTAATATGCATGCAACTCATGATCGGGTCTCACAACTCTCCCCCATTAATAAAAATTTTGTCCCTGAAATTACTTACCTGCACTAAACAAATGAGGATATTGAGCCCGCATACTTTCCTCAGTCTCCCAAGGTGCTTCCAATACTAAGTGACTACGCCACAAAACCTTTACCAACGGTATTGTCTTTGTGCGTAGTATTTTCTCCTTCCTACCCAAAATCTAAACCAGCTACTCTACATAAGTCAAATCCTCGGCTAACTCCATAGGTTCTGAAGTCAACACATGTGATGGGTCAGGCAAGTATTTCTATATTATAGAAACATGGAATACATCATGCAACTTGAACAACTCCAATGGTAACTCCAACTAGTATGCAACAACTCCAACCCATTCCACAATGCTATACGAACCAATATACCTGGGAGCCAACTTTTCTTTCCTACCAAATCGAATGATCCCTTTCCAAGGTGGTACCCATAGGAATATTCAATCACCCACCTCAAATTCCAAGTCACGTCAGCGATTGTCTGCATAAATTTTCTACCTGCTCTGTGCACTCTGTAATCTCTCATGTATGACTTTAATCTGATTACTAGTCCTCTGTACAATCTCTGGACCAAATTACTTTCTCTTACCCATTTCACTCCAACACATTAGGGTCCTACGCTTCCTCCCATATAAAGCTTCATATGGTGTCATCTCAATTGAACTATGGTAGTTGTTATTATAAGAAAATTCAATCAAAGAAAAATAATCATCCCAGTTACCTCCATGACACAAGCTCTCAGTATGTCCTCTAATATCTGAATAGTAAGCTCTGTCTGTCCATCTGTTTGTGGGTGGAATGTTGTACTAAACTTTAAAGTAGTGTCCAACTCAGTCTGTAAGCTAAGCCAAAACCTCGAAGTAAAGCGTGGATCCCTGTCAGAGATAATAGATACATGTACACCATGTAGTCTTACAATATCATCAATGTATAATCTAGCTAGCCTGTCAAGAGAATAAAAAATCTTAACAGCTAGAAAATGAGCAGACTTCGTCAATCTATCAACTATCACCCAAATGGCCTCATGTCCTCTCTACATACGGGGTAAACCACTCACAAAATCTATAGTGATATACTCCCACTTTCATTCTGAAATCAATAGAGACTGTAATAATCTGGTTGATCTCTAATGCTTAGCCTTCACCTACTGACATACCAAACATCGAGCCACAAACTCAACTATCTTTTGTTTCATTTTAGGTCACCAATAATGCTCTCTTAGGTCACGATACAATTTTGTTCTACCTAGATGCATAGTAGATGCTGAACTATGTGCTTCCTCCAGAATCTCTCTCTTTAACCCTACATCGTTAGGTATATATAATCGAGAATCAAATAGCAAAACATCAGCACTGTCAACAATAAAATCAATCTTTACCTCTTTCTTTAATTTCTCAATCTAGAGATCAAATTGTTGTGCCTCTCTGATCTTGTCCACCAGCACTGGTCTCAAAGTCAGTGTAGCAAGTAAAGCTATAGTCTTCTATATCCACAGTTGCACCCTCAAAGATTTCAAATTCATAAATAAATTTTTCTGAATCACTCGTAAACTAGCCAATCTACCTGATAATTTTTGGCTCAAAGCATCTGCCACAACATTTGTTTTTCCTGGCTGGTAATAAATAGTGTAGTCATAATCTTTAATAAGCTCAATCCAGCACCGCTGCCTCAGGTTCAACTCTTTCTAGGTAAACAAATATTTTAAAATCTGGTGATCTGTATAAATCTCATATGTAAACCCATATAGAAAATGTCTCCACAACCTCAGTGCAAGTACAATAGCTGCAAGCTCTAAATCATGGGTAGGATAATTGCACTCATGTGATTTTAACTGTCTGGAGGCATAAGCTACCACTCTACTGTGTTGCATCAACACACAACCCAAACCCTGATGTGAGGCATTACTATAAACCACGAACCCATCATTGCCTGACGGAATGGTCACTAGTCTTCAGCTCCTAGAAACTCTGCTCACATCTATAGACCACTCAAATTTTACACCCTTCCGAGTTAATCGGGTCAGGGGCATAGCTATAATGGAGAAATTCTCTACAAACCTCTGGTAGTAATTTGTCAATCCCAAAAAACTCTAAATCTCTGTCACTGTCCTCAGTCTCTCCCAGTTAACTACAATATCAATCTTAGCTGGATCAACACATACACCATCACTAGAAATTACATGTCCCAAAAAATATAACCCTGTCCAACCAAAACTCACATTTGCTAAATTTATCAAATAATTGCCTATCCCTCAATGTCTACAGTATCAACCTCAAATGCTGCATATGTTCCTCTTCACTACACAAGTATATCAATATATCATCAACGAATACTATCACAAATGAATCAAGATATATCACTATCGCCCCACTCCTTCTAAGCCTTAGAGAGCTATTTTTTGAGCCTTGCTTTCCCCAATGCAAACTCCAGCTCAGCAACCGTAAACCTCATCTCACCAGGGGAGAATCCGACGATAGCAAGGAAAGGCTACCTAATTGGCGTTTCCTTTTTCCCCTTGGAGAAGTGGCATTATCCTCATCTGATCTAGTTGGGGTGGAGTCTACATCAATGATAAGAGGAGGGTTTGGAGTAACAACTGGAATGATAGCCGGGTTGGGGGCAATCCTGAATCCAAAGAGGTTTTGAGACATAACAAGAGTGGAGAAAGAAGCTGCCTCGGCGCAAGTAATTCGACAGACCCTAATGATCTTGTTCGGAGTCAGACCAAGACCATATGCATAACACAAATACTGTTAAGACTTGAAATAAAAGTTACCAACTAAAAGATCCCTTGAAAAAAAGAGGAAGGATGGAGAACAGAGCAACTATTCATTTACTTTTGTCTAAAAAATTCCCCTATGAGCTAGGAACCCAGGAATGTTCAGACCGTGCCTCAGCAGACTCCCAAGAATCCCCAGAAATAAAGAAAAAAATGCTAGAGCTATCCTTCGGGGGAGCTAGGGGAGTCAAGAACCAGTGTCAGGACATGATGCCTCCATGTGAAGCGAGCGACAATAGCAAGGGGTATGTCGAAATCAAAGTCAAACAAATAAAGGAACTCGGCAATAGTGGGAAAATGATCGTAGCCTTGCAAACACCAAAGAATGAAGAAGCTTATAAGAGTGCCTCATCCCATTGGGGAGAGACATGAAGGGCACAACCCAAAGAAGACAAGTATCTGCCCTATGGTTGGGTGAATTGGAAAATGAAGACCCATCTCAAACGCGCCCTCAAAAATAAAAACCTCCCTCCAAAGGAGAAGGTTGCAGGGTTCGTCAAGGGAGGGAATCCGAATGGTCAAGCCAGCATGAAGAAGGTATTGCTGATGAGTGAGTTTTATTCCTACGAATTGAGTATTTTCGACTTGATAAAATTACAAATTTTCAATTATTTTATGTTTATTTTTATTTTTTTTTTGTGTTTTGATGTTATTTTGTAATGATCAACATTTGGAAGCAAACAAGATCATTTTGAAGGAAACAAGGTCAATTTGGAGCTTAAGTGTTTAATTTTTGAAGGCTCAACAACCAGGTAAGCTTTAGGCTTAAATGGGGACAACGCCTTTCTAGTGCCTTTTCAGCACCTAGGTGCCCATATTCTGCCCGAGCAGCGCCTAGGCACTTGTGTTGGCTCTGGATGCAAATTTTGACTTATTTTTGACCCAAAATTGAACGCTAAGGGATGTATATGTTAGGGTTTGAGTTGGAAAAGGGATATACTGATTTTGAGGACTGCTAACATAAAAAAAGACCAAGGATTAAAAGAAAATTGAAGACAAGGATCGAAGGAATCGACGCGAAGAAAATCGAAATCGAAGGCTAGAGAGAAAGTGAAGATTGCAACTAAGTTTTCATTCTTTGCTTTTACTTTTACTTCTTGATTTTCTAAGATATTGTTTAATTTGAGAATGCTTTTTTTCAATTACATTATGAACTAAGTATTTATTAAGATTGCAACGGAACCTGATGTTTAGTTAAATTGATCTACTCTCGTTTCTAGTTCTATTGATCATACATGAGTTGTTTATCATATTTTGTGCTTAATATATGATTGTGTGGCCAACAATTAATTTGATAACCTAGATAAAATTGAAAGATGAATTTTAGGTTTAGATCTGAATATGATGACATGCGTCTGGTTAATTTTTCTTAGGATTGAATTGCTGGGTTTGTATATAGGATAGGAATATACCTATATGTTGTGTGTATCTTTTATAAGAGTTTGAACTTAATGAATCTTTTCAACTTATTTTACATAGGGATATAGTAATTTAATTAGATGAGATATTTTTATCTAACTATCGGAAGAGGTTTGATAAATAATTTGAAGTTCTCAATTAACAACTTATTTTGATCTATTAATTAGAAAGAGAGTGAAAAGATTTATACTAAGCATTAGGGGAAGTTGTAATCTTAACTTCTTTTATCCAGTAAATCCAACCCTTGATTGTTAAGTTTAGATTTTGTTTTAAATTAGTAATTTCATAGTTCAATTTCAATTGTTTAAATGAAATTGAATTGATATAAAGTTAGTACTTGGAATTTATTAGTAATAATTCTCCATGGGAACGATATTCTATTTATCACTTTATTACTTGTTGATCATGTATAATTGCACGTAAATTGTCAATATCAAATTCGGACAACAATTGCCTCCTGACTTCTCCCACCTTAACTACAGTAATGACAATAGGGAATAGAAACGCAGAATACCATGAGACCTCCATCATGGCACGAGCGCGCTGCTTAAATAATAGATTAGGAGAGGAAGTCATGACACTATAAAGAAAATGCTAAGAAAAGTTTAGAATGCGAAGAGTAGGAAGTTCCAAAGTTAAAGGGAATAGACAGTGTGCAAGGACAAACAGACAACTGTTACACTTCTGTAATGAAGAAACTCCATGACAGAAGTTAATGATGGTGACACCATGTAAATTTAGGTGAAGTTAGGTGGACACAAATAACAACACATTTATTACTTTCTCCCCTGAAACCATACGCCTCTATCTAAGAGCGTACGAAACCAGCAAGATATAACAACTAAGTAGAGTTGGAAAAGGTTAAAGAACCCAGATATGTAGAGTTTGGGCTTGCACAACATAAGACTACCCAACACGAGATCATGTTGATTAGGTCAAGACCTCCTTGGAATAGGGGGCAAGGGAGCAAGTAAGCAACAACCATACTCCAACTAGGTCAAGACCTCCTTGGAGTAGGGCGACAAGGGAGGAACACAACAAGTAACTAGCAACACTAAGAGAAAGTTAAATTGTTTTCATTTTAGTAAATAAGAGGATTACACTTTACAAAAAAAAAGGAGAGAAAAATAAAACAAACAAAATAATAACGACAAAAACAACAAGAAGTTTCAAAGCTGGCCAGATGGCGGAGCAGCACCAGAGGGACCATTAGGAGGAGGATCAAATCGAGGCTCGAAATGATCCAGGCAAAGATCAGGAAACTTCTCGACCGCTTGGACCTTGAAATTGAAAATCCCATCTACAAATGCTTTGACGGCTTCCCTCCTTGTTTTCTCGATCTCCTTTCATTGATTCTTAACCAATTGGCACTCAACATTCAAGGAGACTTTTAGGTTTGCAATAACCACATGAGATTACCCACTTGAGTAATCATCACCATCTTGTTGGTTTGACAATTAATCAGCTCGTCAGTTTGAGTATCGAACTTCTATTACAAGGAGGCCAATTCTTCTGACTGAGCCTTCAGCTATTCCCGTAAAGAGATCTTTGAGGTGGTAGCGGTGATCAACTGTTAGACAACCTAGGCTCTCTATTCAAGAGCCGCCTCCAACTCAAATTTTACAGTCAAATCCCAACACAAAAAGTTCAACGTCCTTCTACGAGCCTCCGTCCTCAAAAGGTGGATCTCTACTCCAAGTGTACAAACATGCAACTTAACCTGAAATCGAGATAAAAAGATAAACCATTGTACTTTTGAAACAAGAGAAGTCATAGAAGGAAAAAGATGATAAACTTTATCTCAAGAAGTGTGTGCAAGGCATCCCAAGTCCTAGCTTGAAAAGGTTGGTTGACGGAACGACGAAAATCAATATTGGGAATCAGCTCCATAAGGGCCCGGCTGCTTATAGCTGCATCATCCAATATGTTTTCCTCAAGATTCACGATCGAGGCCAAATTAAGCAATCCCGATCTAGATCCCTTCATACCGCTGGGCAAGGAACCACGCCGAACCGGCCCTTCTTCAGGATTACTGACCACTATCCCCACCGTTGCTTTGTCAACACTAGGTGCTGATGCTAATATTGGCGCTTTGTCGACATTAGGTGGAAATTTGGGCACAATAGGGGAGTTTGGCTCTAGTGCGGACGCTAGCACTTCGTTATCACCAGGTAGAACCTCGGGCACGGCAGGTGAGCTCGGCGCTTGTGCTGGGCAGTCCTTAGTGAGCCTGGACCTTTTTGCTGGAGATCCCAGACTCCATGCCCGTCTTCTTTGGCCCACTTGCACTACAATCATGTCTTTTTCGCTGATCAAGTATGCAGGGACTAGGTAGGAAAGGCAATCAAAGGGTAAGCTTGGGGGATTAGCCAGAAATATATAGTACAATATTGAAGGAATAATAGATACTTACGACTGCTCATAATCTCGACCAGCTTAGGATGTACGAGCTTCAAGTAAAAAAATGGTAACCGAGATCAAATTATTAATGCGAGATCACGACTCACCAGTCAGGGTCGGATGCTCACATGCGACACAAAGAAATAAGGCTACAAGTCGAATTAGAACCTAACAAGCGCGGGAGAGGCAAGTCGATAGAAGAAAACTCACCAAGCGGGGGGAACTCACCAAGATGACCACGTCTCCTCCAAATCGTAGGAACTCCATCAGGCATCATCATCTATGGATCAAACTCCCAACCTATCCCGAACACAAAGAAGTACCTCCTCCTTCATCCTTCAGGCTCAGGAGGGAGGTCAGTAATAGGAATCTCTCCCCTGCCTCGGGGAAAAGTAATAGAACATAGATAATTCCATTGGAGGAAAAAAGTTAAGAAACTCAGCCAGGGTAGCCGGAGGTCGAGTAAACATCCAGTACCATAACACATGAAATGCTAACAAAACTGCCCACCTAGCAGGCAACAGCATGGCTGGGCAAAAACTGAAGAAATGCAAAACCTCCCTTGTAAAGGGAGGAAAAAGGAAACGAAGGCCCAACTGAAACGGGACCTCAAAGAAACAAACCCAACTCTCCAAAGATCGATGATATGAATTGTCACACCCCAAATTGGCTCAGCATGTGACAGGTGTTACTTTAATCCACAGAACATTATAATACTTAGAAGTCACGTAGCATAGTATAATAACCCACAATTTACAAACCACAGATTATTGTATAAGCATATTCAAAACTTTTAACCTAACATAATTCGAACTATTACAACCTATTATTCAATTAAGTATACATTACACACTAGGTTTCCTTTTATTCTACTACGAACTTTCGATACAACTTCCTAAGATATACAGAAACCTTGGTAGGTTATTATATACACATCTCTCAGCTTTCTCATATCTGAAAAATGAAAAGTAAAGTAGGGTGAGCATCAACAGCTCAGTAGAGTATCTCAATTTTCAAGCAAACGAGTTTGAAAATAGTATAGTTTAGCATGATTGGGAAAGAATCCAAATGAGCAGTTGATACATATATGTTAACAAAAATGTCATTTCATGTGAAACTGTAACAGATAAATAAAACTGTAAAAGAGAGTTC